TAGGCGCGAATTTAAAAATACTAACGAAGTGTGAGGAGTGAGGAAAATATATGCTAACATAGAAATTTGATGAGTATTAAGGATAATATTTTAGAAATTACATGAAATATCTATGGATATTATTATAGGATAGTTAAGGAAAGAACTATGAAGGAATATAAATGCAAATACATACATAAAAGAAATATTTTTTTGAACAGTTTTTTCCCTTTTTTTTTTAATGATTTATTTTGTTTATACAAATTCGATTTCTAAAGAATAGTTTTTATAACCAGGATAATAAAATAAAGGGTATCTTCGCAACTCGAAACTGGGGATCCTGGTAACAATTTCACATCTGGATATGCCGGAAATTTTTACCTGATTAGGATTTTCATGTTATTTACCTGCATTATTTTACCCAATTGAATAAAAATAAGTTAAAAAAATAATTTTTTTTTATATAATATAATGCAGACATTCATATAATACAATGCAAAACATAAAAAATGTACCAAATACGAATAACTGTTACAATACAAAATTAAAATAAAATGTCGCTGCATTTTTTCTGGACCTAGTCGCTGACAGTTTTTTAAATTATTCATCAAGTACAAGTCGGAAATTTTCCTTTTTGTTTGGTGACATTTACAATTTTACTTCTGCTTATATTGCGAAATTTTTAGCCTTCAAAGGGTAGAGTCTCCAGTTTAAAAGTCCCAAGTTGCAAATTAACCAATGTGAAGTTCTGATTTAAGATCTCTCTTATAATTGGAAGGTTGAAAGTGCTTGGAATACATACGAAAATTTATCTGCAGGGTCACAAGCCACTGCAAGGGCTGCTCCATGCTGAATTTTCTTGGGAAGGATGGTAGAATTGCCTATTTAGCATATTTTTTTATTTAAAAAAGGGCTCATGGATTTTAAGAATTTTAATCTAGGGAACGGCATGCTCTCCTGGGCCTCCGCTGGAGCCGCCCTTTGGCCACTTCTTCCTTCTGACTAAGCTCTTACTGTCGAGGAAAGCGAAAAACCATATCTTTCTTGAATCCTTTCCTTTAATTGTTACTGTTACATCCGTACCGCAATTTTTCAATGTTTTTTATTAAAGCCACTCATAGAGAACAAAGTTTACAACACAATATAATACAAATATCTGCTTAGTATTTTATAAATCACTATAAACCACTCACAAACTACTGCAAAATGCGTCTGTCATATGATATTTATTTCGCGCCAGCTCTACTAACTCTACGCATGACGTCAGCGCCGCCATGACACCATGCGCGATATCCCCCCCTGATCTATCATAACTATCTTTCACCACATTCCAGGATTGCAGCGACACTGAAGTAACGGACGTGGTTGATTTTCCAAAGGCGTAGACTAGAATGATCTCTTCGCCTATCGTCTGGAAAGCTGATTTTTCGAAATTGGAGCTACTGCTTCCGTCTGTAGTTTAAAATTTGGCTATCATGCAAAATTAAATGAAAAAATGAATTAAAAATAAAAAACATGTGACTGCGTCACTCGTTTTACTCAGTATCGCTTCAACTAAACCATTCATTATCGGTCAGATTCATGCTCTACCTCGTTTATACAGTGATACCTTCTAAGAGAGAAACCAGTATTATGAGTAGGTATAACCTTTTTGGTCTTTGTAATGTTAGCCAAAGCATGATCCGAATGAACTCTCTCTCCTCTGACAGAACCGGGCATGGTCCGGACACCACAATCTTGCCTAGGTTTGAGAGCTCATCGCAAACCACACCTGCCTTGACCAACGGATTTTTAAGTTTTACTGTTTTACTATTTCTTGTTTGTTGTGTAACCTCGAACTCCTTCGAAGCCTCAGTCGACCATACCTGCGTCGCCTATAATCTTAGAGATTTAAGTCGCCACCTTGACCCACCAAGTAGGTGACATTTTCTAATGCCTCGCCTGGCTTTGGGTTCTCAATAACTGTTATCGCCTCGCCATCACTTGTCACCCTAAACTTTTTCTTAAATTTATTCATTACGGTCTATTTTAGAGAAATCATGTACATGACATTTAAAGAATTTTCTTCGATAATAATAAATAACAAATATTTTCCTTGTAGTAAAAAAACGGCCACCTGTAAATTGTCTCTGAAAAGAAAATACTGGGTTGTTTCAATCTGTCGACATAAAATGGGGAAATGTTGATAGTTTGCTATACAAATATTTGAAATAACCAGTTCAAGAGGGAAGCTAATTATGGTATAAATAATAATAGGAACATTCTTACCCGTATCTCCCGATAAATCCGCAGAATGATGAAATATTTGTCTACTACGATGTTGCCTGGTACAGTTTTTGAAGTCGATTCGGCCACCAGAGCTAAGGGAATAGACACAGAATTTCAGTGTGGATGCATCAAATTTAATAAAGTATCATTAAATTTCTTATATTGACTCATAACATTTTTCAGGAACTACTGAGTTGCCAGCACTTATAGTTGACCCCTCAAGTCGTACCTCTCTCAAAATTTTTTCTTACCTGTCGCTATCCTAACTTCGTCACTTGAAGATCGTATTTTGTTGCGTTCTAATTTGGCGAAAACGGCTAAGAAAAAAATTACACGAGGCAGCTAACAAAATTTTTAAAACTTACATCATTATATAGGAAAACACTAAATGGACCCCAGAAACGAAAACAAAATACCAAGAACCTACGGACAAAGAATTCAAACGACGTGAAAACGAAAACACAGAATGGACACCAGAAAAGAAATCAAAATAACAAAAACCTAAGGACAAAAAATTCGAACGACATGAAATTGAAAACACAGAATGGATACTACAAAAGAAAGCAAAATGCCAAGTGTAGACAGACAAAGAATTAGAACGACATAAAGAAGAAAACGCTGAATGGATACCAGAAAATAAAAACAAATACCAAGAACAGACGGGCAAATCGCCAGAAAAGAAAATACCAATAACAGACGAACAAAAAACCGAATGACATGAAAATGAAAACCCTGAATGGGAAGTTGAATCAGCATTAAAGAAAGGGCTCTTAGACAGTTTTTCATAAACCAAAAACTCAGACACCTGGCTCATTAGAGGTGCCAACTACTTATTGAAGGCAGGATTACAAACAGCAAGACTACTAGCAGTGTTTTTGAAATATGAAACTAAAGTATATAAGAAATGCAAAGGGGGATTGGAATTCAAAAATAGAAAAAGAATTCAATTGAAAAATCGGCAATAGACCATGAATAGAAATTGACTTAAGACTTTTGTAAGAAGAGAAAACAAAATACCAAGAACCTGCGGATAAAGAATTCGAACGACATGAAACCGAAAATACTAAATGGACACCAGAAAAGAAAGAAAATACCAAGTGAAGACAGACAAAGAATTCGAACGACATAAAGAAGAAAAGGCTGAAAGGATACCAGAAAATAAAAACAAATACCAAGAACAGATGGGCAAATCAACAGAAAAGAAAATAAAATACCAAGAACAGACGAACAAACAAATCTAACGATATGAAAATAAAAACCCTGAATGGGCATTTGAATCAGTATTAACGAAACGGCTCTTAGACAATTTTTCATAAATCACAAACTCAGACACCTATCTCCTTAGAGGTGCCAACTACTTTTTGAAGGCAGGATTACAAACACCACGAGACAAGTATTTCCCCTCGTAAAAGTACTTGCAGTGTTTTTGAGATATAAAACTAAAGTCTATGGGCAATGCGACGGGAATTGGAATGCAAGGGTAGGAAATGATTTCAATTGAGAAATGGGCTATAGGAATTTGTAAAGACAATAACACGAACAGAAATTGACTCAAGACAATAGACTTTTGTAAAAAAAAGAAAGCAAAATACCAAGAAGGAACGGAAAACAAAATACCAAAAACAGACAGACAAAAAATTCAAACGACATGAAAACGAAAACACTGAATTGGCACCAGAAAAGAAAGCAAAATGCCAAGAATAATAATAGGAAGGTTCTTACTCGTATAAGGGTATAAAACAAAATTTTGAATAATAATGCAGGTCCGTATATAAAAAAATAGAATTGAAGTTGGTCCTGAAACTACGAAAGGTTGGTATACAAATTTTCGCGTAGCAGGTTATTGGAAATTTTGTTTGTACGAAAACTTTCTTTAACTTTTTTATATTTTTTTTTTTTCATAACTACACTATACTTAAGAAACGAACATTTTTCTGATTTTGTCAAATATCCCCGGAACCATCCGGAAAATCTAGAACTTCCAGGGATAGTGTAAGTGAATTTTATTTTTTTCCAATGAAAATTTAAACAACTTTTATTTATTTTTTCCCATAAACACATATGAAAATGTATTCAACAAATATACACGTTAGTGGAAGATGCGTTTTTTTCGTCACATAGTACATTAATACATTTTTTTAGCTTCCAAAGAGGTGACCTAGGTACCATACTGTCTATATCCATGCTACAGTAGCGTAAAGAGACGTACGCTACTGATATTATGATATTGATTTTGGTCAGGACCGCAATAAGGAACTGCATTGCTTTAGCTTTCTCTGAATAATAAATGTTACAAAACGTATTATGTACCCATTTTTTATTAATTTTTTAAATTAATAAAATTAAAATGGCTTTATAACAGATAATTATTTTGTCTTTTCTTGGCACGCATCATTTTAATAAAATAAATAGGTAATAATCTCGTGATGTTATAAGAAGAAAATTTATAACTAAAGTCAGTTGAAAATGATCATTTTTATATTAGAGCGATAGTTAAGACAGGAAAACGTGTGTCGCTAGTGAAGCGATAAAAATGGAGCCCTATAAAGATGTGTTTGGACAACCTCCCAAAATAGGTCTAGGATCTAAAATACCGCAAGAATTTTTCTGGCTGCTATTTCAAATGGAAGAAGATATGACTGAAATATTAAAAACCCCAGAAAACCACTCTAATGACGGCCTTGATGTGCATGATACTATAGTTCATACTGATAAAAAAAATAGAAGAAGTTATACTACATACAGATATAATAATGGGTAATCGTAACGACCAAGAAAGTGTTCTTACAGTAGATGTATTCACAAATGAAAATAAGAACTGGGCCAAAGAAGATGATAATGTCATGAATGTAAACAACGATGATGTAGGCATCAATTAAAACAAATTAAAATCAGTATTTACGAATTTTAGGAGAAAATATTAAATAAATAAATAAAATATTTTTAGGTTGGTCACAGCATAGCACAGTGTTTAACTTCCTATAATGATGAACTTTTTACTGAGGTTCAAACAATAACTGCAGATTTTAAGAAAAATGGGACAAACGAAAATGTAATTATTTTGAGCAATAATGTAAGTGAAAAACAATTTGACAAAATAACCAAAATACAATATCCCTTTTTTTTAGCTTATTGATAATACCATGCAAAATACTATGCATAATAATATAACTGAAAATGAAGGCATGGATTCTTTAGAAATTTCTTCCTACAGTACAGAAGAAACCGACATAATCAAAGATCAACAAGAGCACCCTGCTATAAACCTAATAAAAATCGCCCACCAAAATGTTTTAAAGCAAGTTAATAAAATGATTGAAAAATCAAATAAAAAACTAGAATCATTAACTATTAGAGATAATGTTCTACTAGGTAAAAAAAAGTAAAAAAAAGACAAACAAGTTGTAATTAAATCGCTGTTTTTTTAACCTTTTTAAATTAATTTTTTTTAAATGTATTTTGTAGGTATTAGCGAATTCGATAGAAGAAGAGGTGATCCAGCAAATCTTATTGGAGTATTTATGGCAGAAAAAGAGGGAAAATTTAGAATAGGTACAAAACATGGCATTGTTGATACCTGGCTGGAAAGAAACTCACTTCAGTCGACAAAATTTAAAAAGCTAAAATTAAATGACGTACCTGATTATGAAACTAATGTTCGAATGCTTGTTCGCAAAGATTCAATCGGTTACGGTCAAGGTTACAAAAGATGTAATTGCACTAAAATATGCAGATCAAAGAGGTGTAAGTGTTTACAAAACAATTATATATGTAATTTAGCTTGCCATGCTGGAAGAAGCTGTGATAATTTATAAATATTAATAATAAAAAGTAGGTATACCTAGTAATTATTACCTACCTATAGAGTTTTAGTTTAAGTTTTATTTTCTAGAGAATATACATGTTTTTTTTAAATGTGACTTAAATTTATTTAAAATAAAATGTAAAAACAATACTTATTTTTTACTTTTGTAATAAAATATCTTGCTATGCGAGAGGAAGCTGTGATATTTTAATATTAAAAATAATAATAACTAGAGTTTTATTTTCTAAAGAAAGTACATTTTTGTAAAAGGTGACTTTAATTTATTTATAAAAGAATGTGATGAAATGTAGAAAGAATTCAAATTTTTTACTTCTGTAATAAAATGTATGACAGCTCATATGAATTTAAATTATTAAGTATCTGTGTGCCTATTCCTTGAAATAGGCAAAATTACCTAAAATAATTGCCCATTACATGAAATCGGCAAGTCTGTTGCCGATTTCACGAATAAGGCAAAATTTTGCCTATTACATGAAATCGGTAATTACGGAAATTCGGCATAACATACATATATACGGCAGAGCTATTGGCAATATTGGAGGCATTAAAATATATACCTGATGAAACATCCTTTGTTATCTTCTCAGATAGCCAAAGTGCACTACAGAAATTAAGCCAGTTACAAACAAACACTAAAATAAATTACATCATTATAAATATAATAACAGAAATTAATAATTTAAAAAATAGCGACAAGAGAATTCATTTGAGCTGGGTAAAAGGATATTGTGGGATAGTTGAAAATGAAATGGTTGATAAATATGCAACAGAGGCCATTGAAGAAGGTCAAGAAATAACATATCTGTGTACATCTCTGGATATAATGTCGGCTACCCAAATTATTTACAAAGATAAGTGGATAAAATGCTATATTAAAAGTAGAAAAGGTTTGTTTTTCAAGAATATTCAAAATGAGATACCAAATAAGCCATGCTTCACTTTGGTGCCTGTTGGTAAATCGGTCTTTAGTTAGACAAATTTGTAGATTAGGGTTTACTCACGTTTTAGTTACATCTCATCTGAACAAAATAAAATTAAATGATCATCCCTTTTGTACTTGTGCAGAAATAGGAGATATCGAACATAAAATGTTAAATTGCCAACTAATACAAAGAGTTAACATCTTTTGTAAAAAAATTAAAAAACTCTTCTAGTATAAGTCACCCATTTAATTTAACTCAATTAATAGCACAACCTATAAATTTTTTTAATTAAATTATAAATAAAATTATAAATAAAATAAAAACTGTATATTATAGTATAAGGTTATTAACCATTAATGTCTAACCTCTTGTATCACCTTCACAAACCGTGGTCTACATGTACATGTATAAATCGCCTAGAATGACCGTTAGGCGTAAAAGAGCCCTTGTCTCTACCTTTTCCATTTTCCTTTATTAAAAAAAATAAATTAAATAACATTAAAAAAAAAAACGGAAAAATAACAAAACAAAAATATAAGAACCCAAAATGTATAAAAAAAAATATATGTAAATGAGTAATATTTGAAGAACTTGTAAATGTAAAAAATGAGCTTAATCGTCAAAATCGGCAAAATAGGCAAATGAACTGAATCCTAAGCAAAAAAATTACCTAAATTAATTTTTTAAATTTGTATATTTTCATTAGTGGGTCGTAGAAAAAATATACTGTTTAATTCGAGTGGATTGTCCCTATCCTCTCTTGTTGCACAAACTCTTTTAGCAGTTTATTTATAGTATATTTAAATTTCTCCTTTTCGATTATGTTTTTTTGTCCGAAAAACGACGTTTTCTTTTATTCATTTTATTACAAATATACGAAACTATTTGGAATAAAAAATATATACGCTCCTGAAGTAAATGGATATTCAAATATAAGAAATAATTGTTGTCAACTAAGGAGACATAGGAAGTTTGTCACAGGTAATGAAATGTTTAAGATGTCATTCCATGGCGCCGACCTGTTGATAGCGATAACAGATCTAATTGTCACTTTCACGTAGTTAAGAATATATGGTTTTGTTTATATAATATATCAAAGTTGCGGTAACAATTTTTTTGATGAAATGATATTATTTATGTTTTTACGCATTGAACTCTAAATTAATTATTATCCAAAATATTTTGATCGAAGTGCAGCATGAAAAAAAGGTTATGAAGTTTAACAGTAAATTTTAATAATTTATCTACACTGTGTCCCAAAACGATCGCGCGACTAAGTGAAACTTTATTTAAATAAAAAACATCAAAGTGCTTTTGTTTTTAATTAATTTTCTATTTTAAGCTTAAACGTTATTTTAAATATAGGACGATATTTGTAATTTAAAAATATCTATTATAAACTTGGGCGAAAATATTTAGTTATTTAATCAATATCAGGAAATTCTAGAAATTAATTCAATAAAAGATTTAATAACTTTAAATTGAAAGGTAAAATTTAGAACAAAATAAAATTAGATAGAAATAAGTATTAAATGATTAAAAATAATAAAACGTAAATAAAATATTAGTAAAATGAAATAGATAAAATACTTAATTAATGCACGTATGAGATGGCGTACCTGAAATAAAAAAAAAAACAAGTATGAGCAATTAAGTTTACCAAAAGCAGTTTTATATTAAAGAAATCCATAAAGAAAATACTTATTATCCTTTTAATTACCAAGAAAATTATACTGATAACTCTGTATGCCAAAATATTGATTATAAAAAAATATAATTGACACAACTTTAAATTTTCCATAATTGACAAAAAGTAATATGATCAATTCTGGTGGCACTGAATCACGCTGAAATTTTAATAGCGTCTTAATTAAATATAAAAAAAATAATTCCAAAAAGGCAGACACTTTTTTCGGGGTTTAATTGCCGGCCAACATAAAAATGAATGAACCTGTTTATGCGTCACTATGCATTGAATAAGTATATACTTTTCAAAAAATAAACATTTTAAATTACCAAGACTGTGAAATAATAAAACAATAATATTTTTCCTTTTTTTAGGAAAAAGAAAAACAAAAAAAAAACTAAAAGTTTCGGGACTCGAACCACCAATTTGCTATCCCCACTATCAAAATTTGGGGAAATAATAAAACAATAATATTTTTCCTTTTTTTTAGGAAAAAGAAAAACAAAAAAATAACTAAAAGTTTCGGGAATCGAACCACCAATTTGCTATCCCGACTATCAAAATTTGGGGAGGCAGGTACTGTTTACAGACAACCAAAACTTTACAATTCGGCCCTTTGGCCATAAATCTAAATGACTTAATTTATTACTTGATGCGTGTTGACCGACTTTACAACAATTAATATTTATGACAACAACATCACTATCGATTCTCTAAATAGTATAATTTAGTACAATATGAAAACCCTACAATTTTTTCCACAATAAACGTTTATCAATGAATACCGAAAATATGACAATAACACACAGACGCGAATTTTCCCGCTAATGAATATAAAAGTAATAAAGTGATACCTCTAACCCATCAATGTTAGTCTAAACCTCGGTCTAAACTCTCCCCCGGAATATCTGAATATTAAATACTAGTTTGATTACTTTAATAGTGCGATTATCGTTTTATATCTACGTAAAAGAGACCTTACAGACAAAAAAGTATACCGCTGATAAAAGCGTCTACCTGGCACAAGTTCGTCGGGTCAGCCTTAAGGGTGACGAAATCCACTACGATATAAAATATCTGGCGTTTAACTAGACTAGCGTGGTATCTCCAGTATGAGTTACACCAATATTTTAGTCGCTCGGTAGATACAACCTTACAAAACAGTTCTAGGAGCGAAATCTCGTTTTATTTAACGTGTATCTGCTTGGTCAACCTGACTACATATCTCCTTTTACTTATATATAAAATATAAGAAAAAGGTGGGCATCCTAAGAATAACTGGATATTTATGCAGAAGCTGTTGTTTATAGAAACTAATTTCTCTACTCCGTCGATATCTTTTATTTCTGTTCTCAAAATATAACAAAAGCGCGGCCACCGTAAGGGTAGCGATATCTCTTTTTAATTATATTTGAAGAATATAAAGAAAAAGGAGTCACCGTGGCGGTAACGTGGATATTTGCGTTTTTTGTTAACTTGACTCGATGAAGAAGAAAAAGCTAATAATCCCCCAGCCCACAAAAACCCTAGTATTTATACTTAAATTTCCCATATATGCAAATGTAACGGAAAGAGAACGACTGTGAATTCGGTGCATAAAGACTATAAAGCACTGTATTAATTCCTGAATATAGCCCTATCGGTTTACATCTGGTCTTTTAGCTAGCGGCCGTTACAGTTTACACGTCGATTTCTTTTCCCAGAAGTAATTAAACGGCGCCTACGAGTCGAGAGAAGCTAGGATATTGTTTGAATTTGAAATAATAATTTGAATATAATATGTAATATATAAGAATTATTTAAATTAATTATCAACCCCCGGTTGTCGGATTCCATTAGTATTTAAAGGTACATTAGAAAAATAACTGATTACGATATACATTGAACTTGAAATAAAATTGGAATAGTTTATAGTACCTGCATAAGAAAATAAACATTTTAATTAAATAGAATTTATTTTATATACAGGATGTTAATTTAGTATGTGAATATAAAGAAAAAATTTTAAATCTGAACATACTGGCGACTTTCATCTTGACTCACGAGGATTTTCGTTCCTGACACGCGCTAGTCTCTGCAGTTCGATCATCTCTGCCTGTTTTGGAGATACTGGTTTACCAGGGCGGAGATGGCGGTAGACCTTTTTATAGAGAACCCATAGAACTATTAGTGTAGGTAACACAATAGCGGCTGTGATGGAATTCGATATATATCTTCGATCTTCGATTTGTTTTTAAAGCGTTTGTGCTTCTTGAGTTTGAGTATGGAGAACTTCAAGTGGGCGGTTGTCAAATTTGCTTCTTGGATA